ATATATTTAAGGTACGGAGCATTTTATCTATATGCAGCCGAGGCATCAATGTAATGTTTCATAAATTAAAACATCTTTATATATTTATAAAAACAATATACTTATAATGACTTCATTTTATAAAAGAATAGAAGAAATGAAGTAAGCCGGAGATTAAGACCAAGGGTAAACAACGTTGGAGTTCAACGACCTGCTCCTCGTGAAGTACCAGCACCAGAACAGGTACCCGTTCCTGAGGAAGTTGTCCGAGTGGTAAACAGAGGAAGACACGGAAAAGAAGGCGTGCAGCGCCCGAGCTTCAACAACCAGATCAACCTGTGGAGCCCAATAATCAACCTCCACCTCAGAAACCAACTGAAAACAACGGCAGTTCACGCTCAACCGGGTAATACTTTAAATACTACTGTCCTTTGTTTATACCATGTTCTAATGAAATTGACATAATTATTTCTCAGCAAATAATAGAGAAAATTCGGAATTGTAAAAATGTTGATTTTGGTACTCTTCTTCAACAAAATAGTCAATATTATAGTAGTTTGGACCAGAAACAAAGTGTAATGGTTAAAAATGGAATGCTTGTCATTTCTCATTACCCTTCAAAGGACAATACAATAAATACCATTGAGTTATGGACTGAAGCATTTGCAGTTTTTTTCTAAAATACTTCTTCAAAAACATGCTGGCTTAACACAAGACTTGTTTACATACATGTTAATCATAAGAGTTTTTATATCAGATGCACATTTTGACAGAGTTTACCCGTATGATAGAAAATTTAGATTAAGTGTATCACTAAAACACTCTAAATCTTTGTCTGAGATTGATGGCTTTCTTTGGTTGAAATTCATTGTAAAGGGATCGCAAGGCACACATAATCCTGTAGTCTGCCAGGCTAACTTACAAAGACATTGTTATGATTATAACTTTAAAGGTTATTGTCAAAAATCTCAAGTGTTTTACAGACATAACTGTATGAAATGTTCATTACAACATCCAGTCTTATGTGTTAGATTTGATAGCTTACAAAGTAACCAAGGTTATCATAAGGGATCATTGATGCCACCAGTGTTTATCCAAAATAGATCTCATATGTCTAACCAGTTTCGACAAAACAGGCCTTCATTTGTTCAACAAATAGATATAGGTCACCAATAAACACAAGGTATTTCGTCCCTAGATTTAATCAAATGACATATAGTTAACTTTTCTTTCAGAATTGTCAAAGGATAAATATGATATTTGGAAGAAGGGACATTCACCTATTAATATTGAACAATTAAGATTATCCTAATGAACAGGACAAACAAATTTTGTTTATTGGTTTTAAATTTGGATTTAGATTGAATCATAATTGACCAAGATTTCCACTTGAATCAAAAAATTAATATCTTTTTTGACAAATCCTATTGGAGCTAGATGTAAGATTGAATCTGAAATATCGTTATGAAGAATAGCAGGTGCTCTTTGTAAGAGACCAATATCTAATCTTAGATATTCTCCTATTGGATTAGTTAAAAAAAAAAAAAAACAAAAAAAAAAACAAAAAAAAAAAACAAAAAAAAACATGTTTTTCGTCTGATTACCCATTTATCATATCAGCCATTGAGCAGCGTTAACGACTTCATCGATGAAAGGTTTACCATTGCTAAATATTCTTCATTTGATAATGCTGTTGATTACTTCCGGTTTATACATGAGATTTTGACTAACTTGGTTTTAAAATTGTAAATGAATACTACATAGACGAGGCAATGACATTGGGCTGCTCAATTTCATATGCTAAATTTGAGAAGTTTTTAGCCTTTTTGAATTGGTTTTAAAAATAAGTCTGGTTTAAATAATATAGACCACTATTTGGTAGAATTTTAATATTGTTGGCTAATCAGATTCTGATGAATGTGAACAACTGATGTTTCAGAATGATGAAATTTGCAAAGAAATGGTAGTCTCACTTGCAAAAAAAAAAATGAAGGTCCAACTACACTGATTGAATATCTGGGTCTTACAATTGATACTGTTAATATGCTTGTTTAAATTCCACATGAAAAGATTGAAGAACTTTTAAACAGAATTAATAATTTATAAGCTATGAAAAAAGTAACGTTAAAAGAATTGCAGTCAATATGTGGTTCATTAGTTTTCTGCACGAAGGCTTTACCTGCTGGAAGAGCGTTTAGTTGTATACGACCATGGACAAAGTGTCAAATCCGTTTCACTTTTATCTATTGATATGGAAATTATTTTTGGAACAGTATAATAGGATTTCGTATTTAAATGATATAGGATGGATATCAAATTTTTATTTTGAACTATATACAGATACTGCTGGTGAATAAGGTAAAGGGTGTGCAATTTATATTAATGGTCAATTGAGTGGCATAAAGAATGTAATAGTTCAGAAATAATTGAAGATATAACATATTTTGAAATCATTCCAATAACACTGGTTTGAGAAATTATACAAGAAACATACTTTTTCCCATTGATAACCTGGCAGTAGTGAATGTTTTAAACAAAATGTCAAGAAAATATTAACTAGTTTCGTCCGTTTTTAGTTTAATTATTCACTGTTCACTAATTGGTAATTTTCAGTTTAAAGCTGTTCACATTTTGTCAAAGGACAATGCAATTGCTGATGCATTATCTCGTGCAAATTTTCAGAAATATCAATGTCTGCACCACTTGACAGCTTTTTTCCACATCCGATTCCAGTGGAGTTCTGGAACCTTTTAAAGATGAAGTGAATAAACTTTTAAGGCAATCTGTTTCTTCAAATACAATGGATGTGTATGAAAATGCATCTATTCATTCATAAATTTCTGACCTGTTTTCGAATAGAAGAAAGTTGGCCACCTCCTGTTAATCATACAATTAATTTACATAGCTTTCATAAATAGTTATTCCTATAACCTTCAAAAACATATCTATCAGGAATTAATCATAAGTTGAAAATGAATAATTGAAATGATTATAGCAAATCATTTATTTTGAAAATAATGTTAAAAGGTAAAAAAGTAAAAGAAAACCTATTACTGAAGGACGCCTCCGGGTGCGGGAATTTCTCGCTGCATTGAAGACCTGTTGGTGACCTTCTGCTGTTGTCTGTTCTATGGTCGGGTTGTTGTCTCTTTGACACATTCCCCATTTCCATTCTCAATTTTACTGTTGATGTATTAAAACAACTTGAATTAATTCTTCAATGTTTGTAAATGTTTAGGGGAGGATTTGCTTAAGCCTTTTTTGGATTTATGAGAATTAGAGAAATCACAAAACTGATAATCATGTTTAAAAAAAATTCAGATATTAAATTTGATATTAATTCTAAAGTTTTTGTTACAATTATGTCTTCTAAGAAGGATCAAATTGGTTGTTCGACAAGTTTAATGTTGTTTTCAAATGATAATGATGATGAACATTGTGTTGTCAAAACATTAACAGATAACTTACAGTTACATACAAGTTGATGTGGGCAGGAATGTCCGGTATGTCACTATATAATTTTGTACCAATAGAAGAGAATGTGATACATGGTGGGGGTTTACCAGATGCTGTTTTGCTTCACTGTGGTGGCAATGAAATTAGACTTGTAAACTGTGCAAACAATTTTATTTTATATTTAATTTATGCTAGATATAGTTGGACGTATGGTGAATGGAAGTTAAATTATTTTTTCAAGCATATTACCAAGGTTGAAATGAAGATGTTCAAAAGATTTAAAAGCAATGGATGCAACCAGGAAACGTACAAATAGGGGAGTTCAATCACATTTAATTAAAACTGGGGGTTACACTATAATTCATTCTGTTTTTGAAGTCAAACTCTTATCTTTGGTTAGTCATGATGGAGTACATTTATCGTTTATTGGCAATGATATAGTTTTGAATTCTTTTCAAACTGCTTTAGAACAATTTGATAATATACCAAATAATTCTGTTTATCCGATGCATGAATGATGTTTGTTTATATTTGTTGTATGTTGAAATGAATAACAACTAGTTGATATATTTTCGTTTAATTTATGCTGCTTATTCAATTGTCATGGCGGATTAGCATTTGATTGAGAGTTCAATAAAATGCCAATTTTGGCAGTGATTTATTCAAATATTGTTCATTGAGCTGTTATGGATCTGCCCAGCAGCTAGAAATTATTATGCATTTACTGTTGGTTTTACCTTCAGTGACCAATTGTCATCAAGTTTTAACTTGTTGGCCAGTTTGTTGATGTTGGTTGTTTGTTGGTTGATATTGTTGAATATTGTTGAATAAATGCCATGACAAATAATAAGCCAAATTTCAATTGTTTGTTGTTTATATTATTCTGGCGAAGGAATGAGACAAAACAAATCTATAATTGTATATTTATTGCACAAATTGAATATGCAATAATATTAAAAATGTTAGTAAATCAAATGTATTCAATTGATTTATACATTTATACGTATGTATTTACAGTGAGTTTGTCTAGAAATTTTGGCAGAAAAAAAGGTCAACAAAGTCTGGCAGATCTTAGGCTGATTAAACATCTTTTGCCATAGAGTACATTCAAATAAAACATGAATATTAATTACATCGAAGAAAAAAGTTGTTGTTTTACTTCATTTTATAGTTTGTTTGTTATTACCAATCAAAAATGAATTTCTGAACATAAAACAAAAAGTCAATCTTATAACTATTAAGCCTTTATTGAAAATACAATTATAAACTTTAAAGTGTAAAACAATATTGTAAAATGTTGTTGTGTTCATACAAACATAAATTATAGTATGTTTTTTTGTCTGTCCGTACGTTAACAAATTCATGTTAAAACAAACATTTATTCAGGTTTTTTTTTGTTCAGACATTTTTTTCTCTTTTAAAAAACATGTACAGTTACTTATATCGATTGCAATTAAAATAACAACCGGGATAAAAATACACAAGGCGCCAACATATCCAATCATTTGAGATGAAATTCGGTTGTCTTGTATCGATATTTTAGAGTAGATATATGACAATGTTACCTTTCTGTCAATTGCTATTGCTCGAATTAGCTTTTCTATTTCAACCCTGAACTCATTCGAATTAATGTCATAACAAAAACAAGTACATAAACTTCCATTAGTTGTAATTACATCGGTACTTGTGAGCGTTGTGGTCATTTGCACTGTTTTTGGAGTTGTTGTAGTGCTTGCTCCTTCCCCTGATAGTGATGTTAACGTATTTGTATCGTTTTTTGATGTGACTGATGTTATTGTTGATGTTTGTTTCGAATAGGTGTTGACCGTGACTGAATTTGTTATTGACGGAGACGTCATTAAAGTAGCTGGTTTTGACTCACTGGTGACGTTGACTGAATTTGTTATTGGAGAAGACGGCATTGAAGTGACTGGATCTGACTCACTCGTGACGTCGACAGAATGTGTTATTGACGAAGACTTCATTGAAGTAACTGGTTCTAACTCACTGGTTACGTCGACTAAATTTGTTATTGAAGAAGACGTCGTTGGAGAAGCTTGTTCTGACTCACTGGTGACGTCGACAGAATTTGTAGTTGAAGAAGATGTCGTTGGAGTAGGTGGTTCTGACTTACTGGTGACGTCGACAGAATTTGTAGTTGAAGAAGACGTCATTGGAGTAGGTGGATCTGACTCACTGGTGACGTCGACAGAATTTGTAGTTGAAGAAGATGTCGTTGGAGTAGGTAGTTCTGACTCACTGGTGACGTCGACAGAATTTGTAGTTGAAGAAAACGTCGTTGTAGTAGGTGGTTCTGACTCACTGGTGACGTCGACAGAATATGTAATTGAAGAAGACGTCGTTGGAGTAGGTGGTTCTGACTCACTGGTGACGTCGACAGAATTTGTAGTTGAAGAAGACGTCGTTGTAGTAGGTGGTTCTGACTCACTGGTGACGTCGACAGAATTTGTAGTTGAAGATGACGTCGTTGGAGTAGGTGGTTCTGAATCATTTGTGAAGTCGACAGAATTTGTAGTTGAAGAAGACGTCGTCGGAGTAGGTGGTTCTGACTCACTTGTGACGTCGACAGAATTTGTAGTTGAAGATGACGTCGTTGGAGCAGGTGGTTCTGACTCACTGGTGACGTCGACAGAATTTGTAGTTGAAGAAAATGTCGTTGGAGTAGGTGATTCTGACTCACTGGTGATGTCGATAGAATTTGTAGTTGATGAAGACTTCATTGGAGTAGGTGGTTCTGATTCACTGGTGACGTCGACAGAATTTGTAGTTGAAGAAGACTTCATTGGAGTAGGAGGTTCTGACTCACTGGTGACGTCGACAGAATTTGTAGTTGAAGAAGACTTCATTGGAGTAGGTGGTTCTGATTCACTGGTGACGTCGACAGAATTTGTAGTTGAAGAAGACTTCATTGGAGTAGGAGGTTCTGACTCACTGGTGACGTCGACAGAATTTGTAGTTGAAGAAGATGTCGTTGGAGTAGGTGGTTCTGGCTCACTTGTGACGTCGACAGAATTTGTAGTTGTGTCAACCTGTACATCTGAAATTCATCAATGAAATAGGTATAATTTTACTGTAGAGACAAAACAGAAAAGCTTGTCTGGTGTGGTTTTTGTTTTATGTAGTCTTGTCTTGTCAAAAAGCTAGTCTTGTGGTGTTTTTTTTTTTTCATTTGTTTTAGAGTTTAGTGTGGCGTCCATTTTGCTGAACTAGTGAACATCACTGTTTAGGGCCCAGCTGAAGCCCGCCTCCTGGTGCTATTTTTTTCTCGCTGCGTTGAAGACCCATTTGTGGCCTTGAGCTGTTTCTTGCTCTTTGGTCGGGTTGTTGCCTCTTTGACACATTCCCCGTTTATTCTCTATCTTAGACTAATCTACTGCAAGTTGTTGAGATATGTCTACAACATTTTCGAACCTTGTTGCATAGGATATTTGTATTATTTATTCTAATCCTACTTTGGATAAGTGTATAATTCTTTTGATTTGTTCAGTTGTTTCAATGACGCGATCTTATTCATGGTAAGAGAAGGCCATTCTTTTAACCTTAATTCCAAAAGTATTATAAATCTACCAAAAAAAAATTCCCTCAGGTATTTATGAGACTTTTAGTGATTTCATTTTTGAATGTTGTCTTACACATTTGCATTAAGCCTTCCAACTTTGTACACTTAGTGCAAAAGAGTAATAACTGCCAAAAAAAGCCTCATTTTGAAATCTTGCCATTAATATTTAGATATGAGCATCAGCTTCGACAAAATTAGCTTCCTTAAAATTGTATTTAACAAAGATTTTAATGTGTATAGAATATTTTTGCTCATATATATTTTGACCAAAAACTGGGCTTTGAATGTATAAATTCGGTCGTTAACGTAAATTTCGATGTATATGACGTCATAGTGACATAACAAGGTGGCCTTTCATAAAATAAGTTTCAAGGTAATATTAACCTATTTATTTATTAATACAATTAACGAAATTTTTAAGGGCTTTCTTTAAATATATTTTAAGGGGTTCCCCGGAACCCTGTGTCTCGCCTGCGATTGATGCTGTCAGTATAAAAGTGTATGTTGACTTAAAAAGTCCATTTATCAGTAAAAACAGAACTTTAAAAAAAACGTTTTCTTTTGATGCTATTTTTCGGTCTTGAACATAAGCCTCTGTCCAAGTTTCAATCAATGAAGGTTTACAAATTTATCATGTCAAAAAGATTTAATCGTAGACTATCTGTAAAAAAAACTACGTCTATCAGAAAAATACTGAAAATGAAAATATGTTTTCAAAAGTTTGCTTCAGACATTACTCTTAATCATAAAAAAGCTTTTTGCAAAATTTCATAAAATGCTATAAAGGTTTGACAAAGTAATTGATGTGTAACAAACTTTTACCCAAGACTGTATCTACTTGTTAACAGTTAAAAAAAACTAAGTCTATTTATCAGTTGAATACAGGAAAATGAAAATAAATATTTTCAAAATTTTGCTCTGGATACTGTATTTTGGTCATATACATGAAGCATGAATTCCATGAAGGTTTCACAAAGTTATTGATCTTTAAAAACACTTTAACCGCAGACTGAACCTTAATGTTAACGACGCCGATGCAGACTTCGGAATCTAGGATCGCTCTGTCATGCTTTCGCGACATAAATGTCGCAGGCTAAACAAAAATGATTCAACAGTAACAGAAAAGAGTATAAAATAAGAAAACACATAAACCAAAAGGACAGGACTGGGTTCAACGACGTAACTTCACTTACTTAATTGATAGAGAGATAACCTATAAGTTCCGCCACAAGACAATTTTGTGTCAGCAGGGCATGCTGCATCACAATCAGATTCTGGGCGACGAAGTCCTGTTAGGTTTTTGCGTAATATTGAATCACAGAAGCATTCGACACCAGTCTGAAACAAATATAAAGGCGACTCTCATAGCAATATAGTTTAAAGACAATTTTAAATTTAAGGCATGTGAATTCTGTGTTTAATCTATTTTTGCTCTTACGAACTCAGAAATGTTCGGTCACATGTATAGTTCATCTACGGTAAGGGAAATAACGTGGACGTATTGTCTTACCACGTTGAATCAGGTGGATAAGTTTTCAAATAAAAATAACACTTTATAAATGTAATGCGTTCGAAGTGGTTTTCGGGATTTACCTTCATCGGGAAAAGAACATCGCCAACATTCCCTGTATTATTTAACCGAAATGGTCAAAGTCGTAAAATGGATGAAACCTGGTTCATATATAATACATTGTTAAAGACTTTTTGGTCTTTTGGAAAATGTTGTTTGTGCTGTATTTAGACCCCTCTACAAAGAAATTTGTTTGACATGCACACGTATAAAAATTGCGGTTTTTATCCAACGCAATCATAGGATTGAACGTTGTTTTCAATTTAGACTTGTTTATATACATATATATACATATATTTTAGGAACGCTTCATTTATATATTTAAAAAAAAAACACTTATTTCAAAATAAATACAGTAACCGGATTTTTTACTCAAACCGCTAAATGAGTTAACGCCATTGACACTGCAACCAAATAACACCAAAAAACAATTTTAGATTTATGTCTTCTTAGCTGATCGTGAACTTATAATAATGATTCAAAGATCACAGATAAGTTTTATCGTGTTTGATTTACTTTTGACTTAACATTGATATTTAAGCAACAGTAAAAAAAAATGTCATTGAAATAGAAGTTGTTTTCTCCACCGAACGATAAGCTGGTTAGCGGTTTTTATAATTATATATGATAAGTTACAACCAACACTGGAGTGCCCTCCAAATTATGTTGTTTGTGTTGTTTGGTTGCAGTCTCTTATAAAAGATAAATCTTGGTATGCATTAGTTTCAATGAGTTGAATACATAAATAACCCCTTTTTTATTTGTGTAATTCATCTCGGGGATAAAAACCAAGAATTTAATTGTTAAAGTAAACATCTTTAAAATTCGAAATCTCTTAAATAATAAGCATACACTTAATTGATAATAAAGTAACATATTCATTGAAATGCAACCCTAGCAAATGAATTTTAGTCTAAAACGGTTATACTGATCAAAACATCCTCTGAAAAATCTGAAACTAAATGTTAAAACTTGTTAAAAGTTTAAGTCATTATTCAGATATTTTATTATTTCATATTCCCAACTGTTCGGATGTTTTGCTTGCAGTCAATTTAGACCTGTTCGGTTCCCTTTCAGACAATTCAGTATCTAGTTGTTCCGTGCAGACAAGTTACAGCTACTGAATAGTCTTAACATATACTGAGCATATCCTAATACGTTTGAACCGTATCATTTCCATTACCAGAAATACTCTTTTACTATACTCTGATTTCTCACGTCATTTAAACGTTGTATGGGCTAACTGGATCCCTGCATCTTTGAACTGATAAAGTAATTGTGACTGCTTGACATTTTTCAAACACCCATTTATGTACATAATCAAACCCTGCCTTAAGAAATATATTAATTCTATCATTTAAAACAGTTATCGAAGTAGTCATAAGGAAGTTAGAATATTCATCCCTTAACTCAACATACTAACGTAGATTTTATGCCCAACAGTCGCACAAATGACGTCAAAAAACGTCACCTAAAGCCAAACACTTTGAGGAAAAGATAACGATTGGAATCAATCGTATTGACTAAAGCGAATAGACTGAACAGATCTGAATTTAGCGCAGTGGATACATCTGAAAACCAATTTGAAGACTGAAGCTGACTAATGTGTTTGTTCAATCTTTTAAGAGCTGTCCAGATCAAAACGACCTTTTCTGTTCAAAATTGGTTTACAAGTGAGTGTTTTTAGTAGTTTTATTTTGGGTCGCTGTATATTAAAATGTTTGTACGACCAATGCTTTAATTTACAACACATTACGATACATTCTTCAAAAGCAAACCGGTGATTAAGATTAAAGTTTTAAAACAATTATAGTTAGTCTTGTATGTTTTTTAATTTTAGTTCATTTATATGTTTTTGAGTTTGGTGTGTCGTCCATTTTCATTGAACTAGTACACAGTTCGTTACGGGGCCAGGGCCACATTCCCTCCATTTCCAATTTTATGTTGAAAATAGAACAAATACTCATCAAAGATACCAGAAGAAGCAATTTCCGTCTACATCTGACTCATCAATTCAGTTCAAATCATTTTGAAGGTCACAAAACCGTCCTTGAACTAATAGAATTTCATTTAAATAACAATTTCCTTTTCTTTTGCAGCTTTCGATGAAGGAACTAAGTTGAAAACGGTTAAAGTACTTGTTGACAATGGTAACGATACACAAATATGAACTCAAATTATCATAAATTATAATAAATATAATAAACATTATTAAATTATCTAATGAAATGATCAATTTCCAAAGCAAATGCATATGAATTGGAAAACCTTCATCAATTTGAAGATGAAAATTGAGTATCTTGGAAGATATTTTTTAAGACAGTTTTAGTCATGTAGTATAAGTTTGAAGTTCAAATATCGGTTTTTGCTGAAAAAAGAAGATATCAAATAAGATGGCCAATCAAAAATTATTGCATCGGTTGACTTGTACAAGTTGTATCAATCGTGGTTTAAATAACAAACAGCATCGTGTAAGCCTTAGACCAAAAGAGTAAATTTTAATCCTGGTACCGTTTATCCAATGCCGTTATTTATGTGGGAAATGCATGTCATTGCCTTGTATTGATTCTTTAGTTGGCTCCGTGTTGAAAGCCGTACTTTGACCTATAATGGTTTACTTTTACAAATTGTGACTTGGATGGAGAGTTGTCTCATTGGCACTCATACCACATCTTCTTATATCTATGTTTTTAATTTGTGTCCCAGGTTAGGGGAGGATTGAGTGTTCACAAACACTTTTATCGCAGCCACATTTTGTATTTGCATTGCCAAAGTCAAGAGCCTGTAAGTCAGTGTTTTTTGTTGGTTCCTTTCTATCAAATACATTGTTCGTAAATTGTATTGTTATAAATAAGGCCGTTAGTTTTCGTTTGAAATGTATCACATTTTTTCAAGTCCATACCAGTATCGGTTTTTCTCATTGTTGAAGGTCTTACGGTGACGCAACTATAGGTCATCGTAAGACCTTCAACATTGAGAAAAACTCTTCCTTTGAACTCTAGTGGATAGTTGTCTCATTAGCAATCATACCACATCAGACTTTTATATTGTATAATATGCTTTAGATTACAAATTTAGTTTTTTGTTTCTTCTGAACTACTTATGACCATTATACATAACATTAATCATAATTTTGTCTACTAAGCTGGTATTGAATTGCCAACAATGAGTCAAAAATCACAATATTAGAAGTTTTATCGTGATTGATTTACTTTTGACTTAACATCTGATATTAAATCCGAACTAAGAAAAATATCATTGAAAAAAAATAAAGTTTACCGGACGATAAGCTGATAAGTGGTTTTAATAGACTAGTGTATTGATAATTAGTTAAACCCAGCACTGGAGTGCCTTCTATATTCTTTTGTTTATGCTGTTAGGTTGCAGTCTCATTAAGGAAGATCCCATATTACTTTTTTATTCAGATAACCTATTGTTGTTGTTATGCATTAGTTTCAATTAGCAGTCCAAAAATAAAATATTTTTTTTTACATTTTTTGTAAATGTATTCATCCCATAGATAAAAACCGATAATTCAATTGATTGAATTAACATGTATAAAGCTCTAATTCCTTGGCAATAACAAAAACATTCTAAATTGACAATAAACAACATATTTATTGAATATAGTTCAAGGATTCAAATGGCCAGGTTGCGCAGAATGTTTCTTAAATAACGGATAAAGCTATACTGAACATTTAAGTATTTAAAAAATGACTAGAAAACTGTAGGAGAAGTTGATTACACAAACTTTTGTTTTGTTTTTTTTTTGTCGCTATATATTGAACTATATATACGATTAATTTTTAATTTACAAAACTATAAAACTATAGGTTCGTAGAAAACCATTCTGATAAAAAAAAAAAGTACGAGTTGAATTGAACTGTTTACTTTTCAAATTTTTATTTATTCAAAGAAGTTTTTTTTTTTTACGTTTTAAATGTTACATATGCAGTCATAAATGCAGCGATTTATTTGAAAAAAATAAAACATCACTTTGAAACATCAAGTTGGTTGTATGCATCATTATGATTTAGATAATTATGTTAAGAGTGCAGAGTACGTTGAATGTCCAAACATTCCGAATATAGTATCTATGGACAAGACAGTGAACGCATTTGGCCGTAAACCTTTTGAATTTTGTTACGATGTGGGTCTCATTGTAGCAATCGGAAGATTAGGATGTGATCAGATTGGAAACTTTACTTTCTGTACTATAAAGGGAAACAGTATAAATGACTATTTATGACTTTCATCGTCCAATGATAATCAAATTAGTGGCTTCAAGGTACTTCAGTTTCATGAATATTCAGATCATGTGCCCATATTTTTAATTGGATTTTTTTAGTAATATCCAACAGTCTTTGGTATACTTTTATAAAGTGGAATAATGACCGAAGCAATGAGTATATACAATGGTTACGTTCACACCAGGACAGTCTTTTCTCATTATCAAAATACACCTTTGACGTTAATCTTTTGTTCCAATGATCCATTTTTTTCAGGAATAGAGAGTTATTTTTCCATTGTTCATCTTCATTTATCCGGACGTTTTTGCCCTTTTGATATTTCAATTGGCACTTTAATAAAAAGGGTTCACCCTTGGACTAACATATCTAAAGGACGTAACGTGGAATGCAAACGAATGATTAAAGGATTTTTAGGTAGGAGTAATGGCAACGTAGTGATATAATAGACTATTTTCATATTACCGACTTTTGACTCCGGATTATATAATTTGTCGACTGGTTACCTTGGACATAATGGTACTCGGTCAAGTAAGAGCAACCAAAATAAGTAAAATCAAACATATAATCGGTGTAATTTGAGGGGCAAGTTTACTGTTTTCCAATGATTTTGTAGTGAAAAAAAAATGTTAAGCAGGTAATTTTCCCCCAAAATTGTACCGATTGAAAGCTTGGATTTACTTCTTTAGCTTGCTCTTACCTGACTTGGTACCATGATGTCCAAGGTAACCAGTCGACAAATTATATAATCCGGAGTCAAAAGTCGGTAATGTGAAAATAGTCTATTGAAAACCTGTTATCTCATTAAAAACAAACAGCTTTTATTGGTGAGTCTCAGTTCCATCGTATAAAATATAGAATCGTTTCAACATTCAACAGCAATATCCGCAGTGAACGATGCCCTGTACACCTAAGATTACATTTGAGTTTATTTTTATTTAAACAGTTCTATGATATAAACTTTATTTTTCGCTGCATTTACTGGCTGAATTTCTGTCGTCACAGATAGTATCAAAGCGGTTAAAAAAGAATACTATCAATTGCGTACAATTCCTATTCTATTTATCTACAAAATATTAACTGTGGTAATTTGAATCATTGAATCATTTTATAATGATGGACATATTAACATAAATCAATAATGAAAATTAGACAAAGAATATACCTCACTTAAAAGATTTCTTTTTAAGTTGACCATTTAGGTATAATCATCTCCTTGAAATTCAAAATGTTGTTTTTTTTTATTTCGAACAGCAGAAACGTTTGTTGCATTTAATTATCAATTAGAAAAAGAAGGGATACTCGATGGGTGTACATGATAGAATAATATTGGGCGCGGTTTACATTCAATTTTGGACTGAAACACGTTACATAATGGTTTTCATTGACTGATTATGCTATATGCCTAGTTGCAAATATTACAGTTATAATGGCAATGTTCATGATGAAATTAATTTCGAAATGTTTTAATGATACTAAAAAAACCTTTTTCGTTTAAATAAAGAAATAAACGACTGACTCCAGAAAACGTTTGTAATCTTGCGGATTTTTTAAAAACTTTTTGTTTTCCTTCTGATGATGGGGAAGACTGAAAAATACTTTCAGTTAATTTGGTCTGGTACAAATGCATGAGTATAAATTATCAATTTCAAGTGTTCTATGTCCCAAAAGAAAAAAGTCTTTCTATAACATGTAATTTCTACGTAAAAAAAACTTTCTCAAATTCATTTTTAATACAATACCAGTTTTTGTTAAGGAATCAGTATGATAAAGGAAAAACACAAGGTCTGTAAAAGGTAAAATAGCAAGTAAAACGAAAAAAAACGTAAATTTCTGACGTCATTGCACGAAAAGTGAAAAATTATTCGATTTAGATTTTTCTCTTTTAACTCGCTGAAAATAAATAATTTTATCCAAAATAGCATAAAAAAGAATATTCTGCAACACAAACTGCAGGATAGAAGTGTACAGAAGTGGAAATGAAAGCTTTATATCTGCAAACGACCCTCC